ACCCTTTTTATGCAACGGACATATTATTCCCTTCAGCTACTCTTCTGATACGAATTTATTCTGTCATATAAGTACTATTAGTTTATGGATTGCTGCAGAAGTTGATCAGTACCTTTTTTATACATTTCCGAACAGATTTTATCGATTCCTGGGGCTTTATTGTATTTGAGTTTTAGGATCTCATTTGACACTTCTTCTCTTGTTGAGTCTTCACTGTGTAGTTGATGTTGTCAATGAAAATATCAAACAAGTAATTTCTAAATTCAATTTTAAATAATTATTTTATAATATTTTTTTACAGTATTAATAAGAAGTTATTTCCAGCATGGGAGATTACGTGGGCTTAAGACAAGGGAGGAACAAGACACTATCCTTATTTTTAAAAATCGTGTAAACAGGGTCATCTGTTCGTTAATGATTAATAGCTTAAGTCAAGTCTCTCACTGATTTGCCAGCGAACGAGTGAGCTGGCGACAATGATTAGCAAAACGTTGAATTTCCGCCGAAAGTAAATTTTAATCTTTTGATATCGTTGAAGTTTATAGGTTATCCTTGTAGGTAGAGGTTAAGTAAAAATTCGAGTTGATTCTTTAGGTTAGGTATGACCTCAGGTATTTTTCGAATGATTTGTTTAGTTATCTGATAAATTAGAAGTTTAACAAGATTTTGGTTAGTTTATTTGATGAAATTCTATATAGGGAAACATGAGAGAGTTGCTATGAGAAGAACATGAGACGTCTTATGACTCCCTGAGACATTTTATGTCTTCCTATATAGTGTTTTATTAAATATTATGACTTAAAACACCTGATTCCCATTCTGGTTAAAAACCTGATGACTATTTGCTCCAGTTTTCGTTAAAATTCAACGACAACTTTAATTGACGGTTTAAGATGTATTTGATGATTACAGTGTTTAAGTAGCCGGTAAGTTCAACGGAAACTAGTAAATAGTCATTAAACTGATAAACCGATTGAAAATTAATTTGAAGAAAATATTGTTTCAGATATAATATGCCCCGTTTTTGGTTTAAAAAAGCAAAACGAATAGTTCCTTCTCTTGGTGTTATAAAAGCAGAAGTTGAAGGATTCTTCTAAAATTGACTTTTACCAGGAACAAAATTACGCGAAACTGCAAGGAAATGTGATATCGATAAGCAAAAGCTTAACAGACATGTGCAAAAAAGGAAGTTGACAACTTTAGTTATTCATGTTATTAATGTCTCATGTGCACGTCAACTGGCATTTTAATTTGAGAAAAACAGCCAAAAAAAAATCCCAAAACATTGGATATGAAATCCATTGCTGGTTACGATTGGTATCGCGGTTTTAGACATCGCCACCCTGAGTTGTCGCTGAGGACTCCAGTTTGTTAGGATGTACGAGTTTCAGTTGCACAAATGTTACCACATGTTTTAATAATTTATAATCGATCTTGAACCGCGAAAATTTTAAACTTCATTAAATCTAAAACATTGATAATACATGGCTTACAACGGTATATAGACAACCCAAAGTTCTGGCAGGAAGGGTGCTAAACAAATTAGAAACATCACGTCTGCTGAACGAGGCACATAACACATAAGTAACTACGTGTTGAGGTATAAGTGTTGAAAATAGATTAGTTAATTATTTGTGATCTTTTCAAGAGTAAATTTTAAGAACTATATGTTAAATGGTGGTTTTTCAGTAAGTGCTGGTGTTGCTTATTCCAGACCCCCTAAAATCTAGAAAACTCGAGTAATGTTTCGGTTTTATTGCTATGCTAATATAAAATATAAATTTTCTTAAAAAAAATTTAAACAGGTCTAAAGCAATATTAGAAAATTTGGTTTTATTTTGTAACTGTAACATACCGTTACTTTTTTTGCATATAATTAAGGTAGGCTAAATCAACTTATTTTTATCCCTAAAAATTGAAGTATATATTATGACCAATCATTTTGTGACACCCGGTATTAAATCCTACAAAAACGGGTAAACATGTGAAATAAAATTATTATAAGTTTACTTATAACTTATACTTACTTATTAAATGAGGGGTATAGAAGCAAAACCAAAGCCAAGTCACATTTTTGTGAAATCTGCGTTTGATACGGAAATTTGTTCTTTATGTGTATATACATAAGTTAAAACATAATTTAGGTTCAAATTTTACCTGAAATTGGAGTAATTTAAACGAGAAAATACGCTTAAGCTGCAAAACCGCCTTGTCCAAAAAAATAGTTGCAAAGACCGGCAAGTCCGGCCTTGCTAATGGCGAAACGTTTCGGCTGACACGTGACTTAGCCGTTCTCGCGAATCATGTAATGTTTTTAGTGTTGTTTGGATATTATTTAAAGTAGGTTTACATAAATTTCCTTTTGTTTTGATGTAATGGATAACGATAATATTGGTATCTCTATAGAAAAAACGACTCCAGAATGTAGCCGAAAAATAATCGTACAGCGTGATAAACAAAGAAGGGTAGTCGCTATAAAACATAGATAAGCATAGAGAGCTAGATAATGTTTCAGTGGATCGACCTAATTAATTTTTTTGTTTTTAGATATTCGACTAAAGGTTTGCCTGAAAAACCAAGATGTGTTCATAAAAATAAGTTCTTGAAGTGCAATTTAGTAACTATAAGGGATTTGCAATTTGTTTATTAAAGATTTTATTAAATTCCATTAAAACTTAAACAAGATGCTTTGATAATAAAATGTTGTGATGCAAAGACACCGCAAAAAAGAAGAGGACTAGCAGAGAGAGAAGTGGGCAGCACAATTTCTCAAAAACAGGTATCAATAAATTATAGATTACCAAAGCAAGGTGGCGAATGGATCAGTGTATGCAGAAGAGCCTTTATGCAAATTTTGGGCGTAAAAAAAGATAGAATTCAGGGTCTGGTAAAGAGGTTTTTTTAACGAATTAACTTCATTAGAAAAACGAGGGTGCGACCGCATTCTAGAAAAAAAATTATCAAAAAAAGTTGGAAATTAAAAAAAAAATGTCTGGAATATCATTACTGCAGAAGTCAAATCAAAAAAAGAACTTATCTACATGTGATTTAAATATAAGAAAGCTCTTTAAACTTTACGTCACATCAGTGGATAGCTCTGTTATGGTTAAGGGACATTATTTTCGTTCATATTTTGCAACGCACTATAATAAAGGTTTTGGAACACCTACTACCGACGCATGCTCTCTTTGCTTAAGATATAAAGAAAAGATGAGGAAACAAAAAGATGAGGAGCAAGAAAACAAAACTTAATGTTTTACAGGAATTACATAAACTTTAAGCAAAAGCATTTTACAAAATTCTTAAAACTAACAGCTGCGAGAGAGAAATATTTTCAATGGATTGTCGAAATTACCTGATCAGAGAGCTTACTTATTTTCCCAATATAATCTTTATAATTTTTTAATTGTAAATGATACTTCTAATATGAAACTTAACTTTGACATAGTTTCAGCCTATCTATGAACAGATTTAGATTTGCCAAAAAACTCAAGTGTTATAGCTTCAGCGTTGTTTCATAGATTACCAAAACATAAATTTTTCAGAGATGTTAAAGAAATTTTGATTTGTGCAGATGGCTGTCCAGGTCAAAATAAAAATATTACAGTGATCGGCATGCTTGGAAGTTTTCTCCATAAAAAGGCGGCTAATAATATTCGTTGTATTGAACTAATATTCCCTGTTGTAGGACACAGTTTTATGCCATCAGATAGAGTTTTTGAAATTTCTGAAGACAAAATTAAAAAAAGAACAGAAATCATAACGAATCCAGAGAACTACCTAGTTATAATAGAGCAAAACGCCACAATTTATAAATCGGTTGAAGACTGGGACGCGTTTGATTGGAAAACCTTAGCATCAGAAGTTATTAAACCACCAGGAGCTTGAAACTTTCAATTTCAGAAGTGCAAACGCTTTAGAATTTTGAAGTAAAATGATAATACAATTGAAGTTCAGGGCGAAGTCAACTATAATACTTTTCTCGGTGTTCCAAAGGGCATTTGTAAGAAAGGAAAACATATTCGTTCGATTAATCCAGACAAATTTGAAGCTGGCAGAGTAAGTGACAAAAAGAAGGCCCAGAGTGTTGCCAAACTATTAGAAACGCATTATGGAACTAATTGGCAAGAAAATTCCGATTTGAAGTTTTATAAAAATGCCATACATTTTTCTCTAAATAATGACTAAAGTGATCCACAACTATTGAGAAATGAGTTATGTGAAGAATTTTCTCCAGAAGAAACAACTGGGATGTAAAATTTGATGTCTTAAAAAAATTTCATTTTTATGAGTTTACCTTATTTTTAATTTATATCAATAATTATATTGATATAAAAAAATAAATATGTTTTAAGTAATAAGCATCTAATGTTTATAATAATTTATTAGGTGAAATTTAAAAAAAAAAACGTTTTTCCGAAGTTTTCTGAAATTTCTATCCAAAGTTGCTAAATTTCGTTGTGACTTGGTGGATTTTGCTTCTATACCCCTCAAATATACTTTTAACTTATAAAAGATTACTTATAGAATATACTTTTATACCTTTGTATAATCTTGGGTTTCAGAATACTAAAATTTATGTTATATATTGTAAGTGCTGCATCTGTATTAATTTAAAAAATATATAATTTTTACATTTTTGGACGCGTTATTTTATAAGGATGCAGATGACCGTAGGAATAATAATATATTACTTCTAATCACACGAAGTCTTAAATAATTAACATTAAGTCGTTTTCTTTGAATCCTATAGGCTTATGAATATGCTAAAACAGAGAAATGACATTTTCTTCATATAAAATACCATCCTTAATTGAAGTACCTAAGCTATTATGTTTTCTTTTATTACCTAGGCCTTGAGAGTAACATACAAACATATTAATCAATGGATATTCAATAAATTTAATTTGCACTTAACATTGTAGGCCAAGAACATTTCTAAATGAATGGATTTTTTGTTAATTTATTCTTTTTATTAAATAAATTATCTCTCTATTTACCCTTTTTGTTAACATCCTTGTAAATGTGTACACTGTCCAAATTTATTTCAACTAACGCACCGGCCACTACTCACTAAATATCTAAAATAATAATTTTATGGCGACACTAAACAAAGCATTTTATCCTGTCTTCTCCAATTGAAGATCGATCATCATCTTTTATGAGACTCCCCCGCCAAATGTTTGAAAATCCCGCGTCAACTTAGTGGGATAAACTTTAATATTAGAAAATGTTTAATAAAATTTTAAAGAAATAAATTTTTTATCTGACTTTTTGAACATGTTAATAATTATATAATGAAATATTTCGAAATTAATATCAAGTAAACGGAATATCAATCAAATAAAACATTACAAACAAAATTGCTTAAAAGAACTTTCAAAAGTCGATTATATGTATATTACTAACACAAAATATTTGTTTCTAAATAAATAAATAATATAATACCACCTTTTCCTAAAAATGTAAATACTGGATCTGCTAAAAAAAGATCGTTTGATCAACAGAAAGCTCAACTTGTACACTTGACATTTTAATAAATAAATATCCACCGTATAACTTTCTTACAGTTTGTGAAAATCAATTAATGAAACACAAACACGAATTCTTACCATCTAGCTTGAGGAAAAAAGTCTCCCCTCCAAAATCGTTTATCTGTCCATGTAGAAAGGTAAACGTATTAAAAAAAAAAACTATAAAATACTCCACTGAGACTGATATCCAAACTACTTTCGAGAATGTCAGAAGGAAAGTAAGATTGAAATATATTGGTCCAGTCGTTAGATATTTGACCCCTAAAAATCATACGAACAATCTGAGTTTTGCCGAGAATATTAATTTTGACCCCAAAAAGACGCAAACAAGTTTACTACTTTTATCCCTGGGATTCCCTCTAAAAAAACCCTCGTGAAGAGGCAAAATCTCAAAAAAATCGATTTACCAAGAACTTGTACGCCGTAGAAAAAAATTTTTCAAAAAATGAAGTTTTTTAGAGCTAGTTTTCCACTTTTCCACTTTTAAAAATGTTCAATTTTCCAGCAGTTATTAAAAAGCTTGTGATAACTCCACCAAGAAAGGCTCAATTGAATGAAGTTTAGTGATGTCGAAAAAATAACTACTACTAGTTACTTTTTGTTTGTTACTATACAATACCCAATACCCAATGATATTAGATACCAAGTATCTATAATAATAACAAACCGAGAATTATATATCGGTACTTCGTTATTCTAAATATTGCGGTATTTTGTTTACACGGTAGGCGACATTATTTGTTATTAATTTGTCCCGTTAATTTTGAATATTAGCCACGCTCTTTCAGATAATTTTGTTTAACCGAATGATCTCATCGCACACTCAGCAGAAACAATGGTTATTCTTAGGCCGATAAGCTTTGTTTATTTAGATTACTCCTAACTAAATTAAAATGGGAAAAATTTGAATTATTTTTTAATGAAGTAGGTGTCCGTAACAATGTCCGTAAAGTGTTATATTTATTATGGGCTAAGGTGACATATTTAAAAAAAAATTCGATGCGATTATACTGTCGGCATCGCAATACAAGAAAATTAGTTTAAAATTAGAGAGCAGCTATTCTCAAAATCTGGACAATTAATTTCAGAGTGAAGAAGTCGTCTGCTGGAAAAGAATGTACAAAATATTTTATGTTTACATTGTAATTATGATCTCTGAGCATGTGTCGAATGTGTCTGAGTTTCAAATTTTTATTTAGTATAAATTTTTTTGCGTCTCATAGAGTCTTTAAGCATATACCGAACTACTATACTTGCTAAAATGACATTCAGTCCTAACTGCAAGACGAAAGAGTCTCGCAGACTTAGTCTTGTTCTTGCTTAAATCTTGCACAGTCAGTCTTGGTCTTGGTCTTGCTAAAATTAGGCGGTCTTGGTCTTGGTCTTGCGAAAATGCAAGAACAAGACCAAGACTGCAAGACCAAGACCGATTTTGGGCAACACTATATCCAGTCGACGGAAAAATTTCGTTTCGACGATCTTTAGATCAAAGTGTGCTATCGACAAAATTTAAAATGCATTCTAAAGCCGAAGAGCGCACCTTTTTTTTGCAATTTTTGTATTTTGCCGCAAATGAAGTATGTCTATAAATCTGTTCAATAAATAAACATTGCGCGATTTTTGCCATTTTTTTACAATTCTCTGAAGATCAATAAAAGTTATCACTTTAATCGACTGGTCATAGTGCAATTTTAATTCTTAGAAACCAATTTTCAAAACCTAGAACATAAAGTTTGAATTTGAAGATATTTAAGATTAATATCTTCAAATTCAAACTATAAAGTTTGAATAAATATTAGGCATGTAAAATGTGACTGAAAAATACAGAATGTACAATTTTACATCACAAACGATCAAATGTCACAAGAAATGTCTCTAAAAATATTGTTTTGAGTGTATTTTGTACCAGAAGACAGGTAGTTTTTAAAAAGGCACTAATGTGATTAAAAAAAGCAGTTTTAAATGTTTAATATCGTTTGTAATGGGGCTCAAAGGAGTAGTGAAGCGCAATACAAGGTATTTCTTCCAGATAACACCTCTAGCCTATCCTACTCAATTCCTATCCTCACCTTCAACAAGTGTGATCTTGATCACACGGGTGAACCCCGGTAAACCTGAGTAACCCTATTGGTGATTGGGTAACCAACCCCAATGCAATAAAATGCAATATCAGCTTTGCCGATACGGATCGAAATACTTTATTTAATAAATACTATTCACTGCCTACCATTGATAAAATTTGATTGATTGATTTGATTGATGAAAAAAACGTCTACCTGTTTGGTTGCCTTAAACCATTTGATGTTAAACAACCAAGTTGTACAAATGCTGTTCGCCAAAAATCGTTCAAATATTTTGTACCTTTAGATGGAGAATCAAAACAAGTGTGCAAAAGTGCATTTTTAAAATTATTTAATGTCAGAAAAAAGAAAATAGAGCGAATTCGTAATCAAATTTCTCAGGGACAAGCTATCCCAAGTAAAGATCAGAGGAGTCGCCATATGACCTGCAAAAATCAAACACCCAACGAGCAGCTTGACATAATTCGTCAACATATTAAATCGTTTCCTGCAGAAATGTCACATTATTCGAGAAATAAAAATGAACATCGTCTGTACTTATCGCCTATGCTGTCAGTAAACAAAATTTATGAACTATATAAGAACCAGTGTTCTGAACAAAATCTGCAATTTGTCAAAAACAGACGATACAGACAAATTTTTGTTTCCGATTTTAACTTTGGTTTTGGATCTCCAAAATCAGATACCTGCAAGGTTTGTGACTCTAAAGAAAATAATGACGAACACGTTAGGCGCTACAAAGCAGCATTTGAAGAACAGAAAAAAGACAAAAATTTGGCAAATGAGGATACCATTTTGTACATAAATTTTGATATGCAAAAAACATTGCCTTTACCAAAGCTGTCTACCAGTGTTGCCTTTTATCTTAGACAAGTGTGGCTATATAATTTGGGTATTCATTCTGTAAGTAAAGGTGATAGTTTTGGTAATGGGTTTTTTCACCTCTGGACTGAGGACAAAGGTAATAAAGATCCAGAAGAAGTGGGAAGTATTATTTTATCGTTCTTTCAAAACATTAATATTGAAAATAATCATTTAGTAGCCTGGAGCGATTCTGCAGATGGACAAAATAAGAACTTTTTTATATATTATTAAATGGCCAACTATATGGCCTAGGAGACAAATTCGTTAAACTTCCCGTGCTCGAATTGGTATCACTAAAGTGTTATGATCATTTCGGCCTATCCCAGCCATCGTCAGACACTTGGGCTGATACAAATTCAAACTCGGAAAGTAAAACGAATGTCTCCCAAATTCGTTTCACGTTTCACGTTCGTTTTACTTTCCGAGTTTGAATTTGTATCAGCCCAAGTGTCTGACGATGGCTGGGATAGGCCGAAATGATCATAACACTTTAGTGATACTAATTCGAGCACGGGAAGTTTAACGAATTTGTCTCCTAGGCCATATAGTTGGCCATTTAATAATATATAAAGCGATAGCGGCTTTCGCTAAAAGATTTAATTCTTTAAACTTTTTTATAGTTTGTTTATGGCATTACCTAGTCTAGTTTCCTGGGTGGAGAAGATTTGTAACTGCACAATACTAGAACGTCTCAGCAAGACTACTGAGATCATAAAAAGCATCAAGCAGAGAAAGCTGGAATATTTCGGACATGTAATGAGAGGTCCCAAATATAGATTGCTACAAAACATCATGCAAGGAAAAATAGCAGGCAAACGCAGTCCAGGACGAAGAAGAACCTCATGGTTGAAGAACTTGCGAGATTGGTATGGTGTAGATACAAGCATGCTATTTAGGGTGGCAGTGAATAAAATTAAAATAGCTATGATGGTAACCAACGTTCTGAAAGGACATGGTACATGAAGAAGAAGAATTACCTAGTCCGCCAAGGGACTTTTAAAATTATTGACCATAAGTTCCCTGAGGTTGGCCACAGTTTTATGGATATTGACACAGACTTTGGGGCTGTCGAGAAAGTTATCCGAAAAGCTCAAAATATTTATACGGTAGACCATTACATGACGTTAATGAGGGAAGCTAGAAAAAGGAATCCATTTGGGTTAACTAGAATGGAAGATAAATTTATTGATTTAAAAGAATTGCCACTAAAGTTAAGTTTGTTTGACAGAAAGAAAGCTAACAAGGGGGAAAAGATACTTTACCGCAATGTACGATGGATAAGAGTTGATAAATTTGGTATAACAAAATATAGTATTCACTAGATCAGCACAAAGAGTGGAAAGAAGTAGATATTATTAAACACAAATCAACCCGCGCAACAGAAATACACGAAGATCTGTTAGTTCCATTAAATAATTCAAGGTCTATAGCAACCAAAAAATTTGATAACATTCAAGAGCAGCTCCCATTTATTCCGGAGAATTTACGGGGATTTTATATGAATTTAAGTCGATCTGAAAGTGATTAGTATACTTACCTACTTTTATATTTATCAATTACCACATTTTTGTATTTCTTTTCATCAATAAATATGAGTTAATTCTTTCTTTATTGGTCATTATTTCGAATAATAAAATAAATGACTGTGCATAAAG